GGAAGAATGCTCGATCAGGAACCATTGGTCAAAAACGGTCACCTGACATACGAGAAACCGGGAGAGATGGGTGTACGCCTCCCCACCAAAGGCACTGTGAGGAAGTAGGGGTGAAAACAATAGCGATAATGGGGAAACAGAATTAATGCGGCTATTGGAATTATCGAGAAAACCCCTGACGCCGACAGACCCACCCCCGGTTTGCTGCGGCGTCAATAAAAGCAGGACCCCAGTCGACAGAAATCAGTTGAGTTGAGTTTTTAGGCAGAGTTGCAGCTGGACCGCGGGCGGGGATAGAGCCTGAACGCGGCCATCAGGCCCGATTCACTCGCCCCTTTGCGGGCAAGAGAATCCTCAGACAAGAAATCCTTCCAGCCCAAATCGAAGAAGAAGAAGATTGCTCGCAAGCCTCAGAGAAGTTGCAGTCCAAAGAAGAAGAAGATTGCTCGAAAGCCGCAGAGAAGTTACAGCCAAGTCGAAGATAAGAAGAAGAGCTGCAGGCCAGACAGGCCGAAGAATTGCAGGCAGACAAGAAGAAGAATTGCAGGCCAGACAGGCAGCAAGAGTTGTGGCAGAGTTACGGCAGAGCTACGGCACAGTTCAGCCCCGGACGGCAGCGAGAAGAGATCACCTCGGATGACAGAGAGTAGCGGCTGAGTTGCGGCAAGAAATCCTTTCCACCCAAGTCGAAGACAAGAGAACTTCCAGCCCAAGTGGACGAAGAAGAAGATTACTCGAAAGCCGCAGAGAAGATCCAGCCCAAGTCGAAGACAAGAGAAGTTCTATCTAAGTCGACGAAGAAGAAGAATCAACTGCGAATGATCGATAAAAATCAGCCCCAGTGTCGAACTAAACCACACTCCGACATACACAATTCTAAAGAGTAGGCAATTGAAATCCTTAGGTTGTGTGATAGAAGCTTGGTGCCATAGTCCACAAAGCGGGTCGGGAAATAAGAACAATTTTTCTTTATGTAACGGACATTAGATATAAAAGGTTGTCACCCTTTTTATCAGTAATTTTTGTCTCGTGAGTTTTTTTTTCTTTTACTTGTGTTTTGCCACCCCGTCGGACTCAACTTGTATCGGCCCCAATCCTGCTGGTCCCGTCTGTCTAGGATCTAAACACAGCGTGGGTAGACAGACCGGAGATCAGTACAGTAACTTCAGTAACCAGGTATTGGAAGCGAGTTGGGAAAGGCGAGGCTGGTGATCATCCAACCAAGGGGTTGGAGCGGCACGCTTGGAACCAGGAGGAGCGACCAGGAGGAGCGACCAGGAGGAGCGACGTCACAGTTGACGCCGTAACCAAAGGATTCGACCCTGGGCCAGGTGTGTAACCGTCACAATAGGTTAGCAGTTAGAAAAGTTTACTTCTCTTTCACGTTTTCTTCTTTGTCAACTACAGTTCTGTCACGTTCTGTTTACAGGGTTTGGGTTTGTTTTAATCATTTCATCTCAAGCAAGGGGATAAAGTCACTAAGACGCAAGGATTACAGAGAGTGTAAGAAACAGAGAAAACGTTATTGAAAATAACAAACCAAGATTCAAGGAGACAGATGATGATGGTAGACATTGTATATATCAGGTCTTCCCATAAGTTCTGTCGGAATTTTGAATAAAGAAAACAAATGACCAAATGTTACATTTAATTACAGATTCAATCAACAATGTATTTTCCCTGATTATCTATGATTTCCTTCCATCTTTAACCTCTTCCTGTGTTACAATAGCTGTTTCTTCCAAATGATTCTGTAAGCTACGAAACAAATGGTAGTCTGAAGGAGCAAGATCGGGAGAATAAGGTGGATGAGGAATTTTCTCCCAACCAAGTTCTTCGATCTTTTGTGACGTGATTCTGACTGTGTGGGGTTGCGCATTGTCCTGATGAAACATCACCTCTTCTCGATTCACTGGAGCAGGTCTTTTTTCCCTCAAAGCTTGGTTCAAACGCTCTAATTGCTGACAGTATATTTGAGCATTAATTGTTGCATTAGGTGGTAAGAATTCAAAGTGGATTATTCCTTGGCGATCCCACCAGATTGAAAGAAGAACCTTTTGCCCATGAAGTTCCCTTCTCGGCTGTGGCTGGGGTCCTTCCCCTTTACCAAGCCACTGTCTACGACGCTTAACATTTCTATAAAAGATCCATTTTTCGTCGCCAGTCTCAAGTCTATCCATAAAAGGTGAAACAAGTTGGCGAGAATGGAGAGAAGAGCAGATGTCAACTCGGGATTTGAGGTTGTTTTCAGACAATTCATGAGTCACCCATTTTCCAAGTTTAGGAATTTTTCCAAGTTGTTGAAGATGACGATGAACAGTTGTATTGTTTGAACTGAGAACCACTGCCAATTCCTCCACTGATAAAGCAGGATTTTCTTCAAGGGCTGCTTCAAGAAGCTTTTCATCAAACTCAACTGGACGTCTGGTTCGATCTTCATCTTCAAGGGTGAAATCTCCACCTCTGAATTTTGCAAACCATCTTCTGCAAGTTCTTTCATTCACACATTCCTCTCCATAAACTGAATGAATGTTTCTAGCCGCTTCGGCTGCTGGGTTTCCTTTCTTGAACACATAAAGCATTATGTGCCTCAAATGATTCTTGGGTACTTCCATGTTAGCAGGGTTTTAATCAAACAAAATATTATTTTATTGTTCACTGAAATAAAATTTGATCAGTTTAAATGCATCTAAACATAAAAATAATGTTCAGCTCCATTAGACATTATAAAATACTTTTTAAATTTCGTTCATTTTAACAAAAAGTTAAAATTCGGACAGGACTTATGGGATGACCTGATAGATCTTGGAAGGTCGTAGTTGACAGGAAAGCAAGAATCCGCAGTTCAGTCAATGAATACCGAATTTTCCCTGTATGGAAACAGCTATTTTCATCAGCACTGTTACGATTTTTTATGTATATGCATGTTTATGTTTATGTGTATTGAGTGTATAGATCGACATTATATAATTTGCATGTTTGCATATATGAACGCGTATCTTTGTATATTTGTATTTATACGTAAGTTTATGTAGCATATGATTGCATGCATGCATAGGAGCGCATAGATATGTAGGCACACTCACACACACAGACACACGCATATATATATATATATATATATATATATATATATATATAAGTAATAGAATTTGGGGGCACAATCCGTTGGGTTATGAATACTTGGATTAATATCACCACGGAATTTGTGAGTAGCGGCGCTATATCGAGTCCATACAGTTTTCCGTTGGTACAGTTAGTATGACGCTTGGTAGTGGATGTACACTGCTAATAAATCCCAAAATAGACGAAACGGCCGTCCAGTGCTTTCTGCATTCTGTTGAAAATTTTTCTAGATTCGATGCAATACTGTAACATATGTTATAAAAAAAACATTTTAAAATCGTTACACAAAAGCTTTCATGATTGTACCTCCTCAGACGATGGTAGGTACAATCACATTGAAACATGCAAGCTTTTGTGTAACGATTTTAAAATGTTTTTAATTATAAACTCTTATAATAAAAGTAAAAGTATAATAATAATATTTTGCTCTACTTTGTATTGTATTCTTTTTAAAAAGTAAATGCTGCGAACTGTAGATTTCCATTTTATTATTCTTTCTTTCATATATATATATATATATATATATATTATAAATTAATTGATTTAAAATATGTTTTTTTTCGCTACACAGTTCTAACCACGTTTCAAAAATGGAAGCTAAAAGCTTCGAATTTAATTTTGTAATCGAATTAAAGACATTAGTTCCATTTCATCCTCAAGCGAATTTTGGAGTAACTTATTACTGGGTTTTAAAAGCACAGCAAAAATCTTAATCCACGTTTCCAAGGATACAGAGAAACCCATTCATCTAGACAAGGGGTGTTTGCGATTTCATTATCACTTCCATTTTTGAAACATGGTTAGAACTGTGTAGCGAAAAAACCCATATTTTAAATCAATTAATTTATAATATTAATGCTCTGTAAATTTACATTGAGCACTATTTTGTAAAAATAAAAATATCTATAAGAACACCGGATTATATATATTATTACTGTTCTTTCTTTTTATTTATATATACATACACACACACACGCGCGCGCACGCACGCACACATGCACACACACACACATATATATATATATATATTAGCATAAAATCCTCCCTATCAGGTGGCATTTAAGCTAGCTACTGTGTAGGGCTCTTGATTGGGCCTTTATCACAGTAGTTAGGGACGATTAGATGCGATAGGCAACAATAAACTACAGAAGAACTCAAAATGGATCGCTGCATTTAAGTACTACATTAATATTTAACCTTACCTAAAGTTAAAGGATAATTCTTCTGTCGCCACTTAATTTAAAGGCAGTTTGATGTACGTAGGCCCTTACCGTCCGCACAAGTAATTATTTGTATTTCATGAGTGACTTTCGTTGGATTTCGCAATTAATTTCAATTATTCCCAAATTTATTTCCAAGTTATAAAAATTGTTATCGTACAAAAAATTCATCGCAAAAAAATCACGTAAAAATCGCTGAAAACAATCGCAGTAAGGAAAAATAAAATTTCAGAATTGCGAGTTCGAATCCAACCCAGAATGTTTTTAATTTGCTCACGGAATCGGCCTGATTCCAAAATGGTATGATATGTTGGGCTAATACGGACAATTTTATTTTGAAACACTGTAATTTGAGAACAGCATTTTTTTTCATATGAACATGAGCTATTGAAAGAGAGTTGTGTCTCTTTAATTGTTTTTTTTTTTTTTATCATTAGAAGCCAAGATGGCGGAATCCGAAAACAATCGCAGTAATTAAAACTTCGGAATCCAAAATTTCATGATTACGGATCCGCATCCGGCCCGAAATGTTTTTAATTTGTTCACTGAGTCGGCCTGATTCCAAAATGATATGTTGGGTTACGGCCTCTAGGAGTAAAGTGACACACTGATATACGCATTTATCATATAGATTTTAAGCAATAATGCACATACAAGCAGATAGATAGATAGATAGATAGATAGATAGATAGATAGATAGATAGATAGATAGGCGGAAAGTTGGAAAAGTGTGACAGTGACACACTGACATTCGCATTTATTTTATATATATATATATATATATATATATATATATATATATATATGTATGTATGTATCTTTGTGTATGTGTGTATGCATGTGTGTATCTGTGTCCGTGTATTGACGCGTGAGTATGTATCAGTGTACATACAGTGGGATCACTTAATTTTGGTATACTTTGTTTAAAAATTGTCGTATTTAATATTGTATATACGTCGTATTAAATATTGTATATAATTTTGATTATTCCTTAAACCGTACATAACCCTCTAAACCGTACATAATTTTAAGTACATTTTTCTTTTTACTCCATGTTTTTTTAACGAGAAGAAATTAAGTACAATATCATTTTATTTACATTTAATATTAGAGTACTATTAAATTATGCTACATAAAAAAAAATGATATTCTATGTTGCTTGAGGAAAAATTTTGCCGACGAAATACTTCAGCTTTGCACATAAGGTATAGAATATATTTTGAATCATTTTGGAATAAACAAATGTTGTCATTTATACTACATTGTTCGAACTTTTGTCCTCAACTTTACTGTCACATTCACGAAGTTTCGGTCATGGACCGCATTCGTCAGTTGATATTTGTTGGAATTTCGAACCGAAACCAATATTTAGCCCACGGGTGCAGGTTGTTCTAATTCCACGTACTATTCCTTTGATATCTCCGTTTTAGTTAATTCGCATTGTTAATTCTCCAAGTTTTTGTTTTCTCCGGCGAGACCAAGGACTGAACTCGCAACTCTTTGAATCAAGTCATTTTTTGGTTTAATCAACCAAAGCTTTTATTCACTGGGCCATGTACAAAAGAAAGCCCATCGCGCTTATAAACCATCAAATACGGCGAGTCATCAAAAATAAAACGGCCAAATCATTAACCTCAATTATCTGTCATTTTTATTAATTGACGACTCTGCGCAAGTAAATTAATATGCAAATAGATGAAAAAAAATCTGATACTAAAATGTCATTATTTGATATAAAACATATTCTATAATAAAAAATTCGAAACGCCACAAATTATGCCAATGTTTGTTTAACAAGTCGAAAGCACGTGAAACATGATTAACCAATGAAACTCAACACAAAAGTAAAAATGGCAGAATTAATCCTTCATATGTCATTCTCTAATGAGGCTTTAATATAAAGTGAAAAATGTTAAATCGATAAACTTTTCCTATTTGTTCTTTATTTTATCATGTATTTATTTAAATATAAATTAATAAATAAAACATAAAATTAATTAAATTTTAAAGAATATTGTTATAATAAATTAAATGTCGTCGTATTTAACTATTGGGTTGGTCCATAATTATCAGACGTTTTTAAACAATATTTTTTATGAAAAAAGAAATATAACAGTTCAACAATAACATTTTTAAATGAGTATCATTATTAACATGCATCCCTGTAACCTGAAAATAAAATAATATTTTTATTAAAAAAAGTAAATAAAACAGCAATTTTTATTAAAAAATAACTCGCCTACAAAAACGTCTGATAATTATGCACCAATGCAATATAATTATTATTTTGTTATTATATTGCCGAGATTCTCAACACTGACCTCTTGGAAATTCAGATCACTCTGTAGTATCTATTGGTATTTTGTTCCAATCGTCTGTTAGTCAGGAACTACCTATTCCGATACCAGTATGCTGATTGGGACTCACTCCGAGACTTCCTTCGAATCCCCCCACACCTGGACTGACATTTTTAAGCTTCAAATTGAGAATTATGCCACTGAGGTTTCCTCTTGGATCAAAGCTAGGATGGATGCTTTTATTCCTTCTCGGAAATATCAGTTGAAACTTCAATCTTCTCCATGATTCACACTAGCATTCTCTGCTGCTATAGACCACAGGAACCACTATTTCCGGCTATACCAGTGCGACAGCTCCCCTCAAAACAGACTCGTAATAAATGTAACAGTACACGAAGGATCTAAGGCTCTGTTTGTTATGAGATTGAGGCACCGCATTGCATCTAAAATCTTTGGCTCCCATGATTACTGGCAGCTCTGTAATAGTGTATTAAATAATATTATATATATTCTCTGTTCCTCCCTTCTTCGATCAGTTTGAGGTTTTAACATCTTCTCCTTATAAGGCTGAAAGTTTCGCCTATAAATTCACCTTAAACACTACTCTTGACTCATCTGGAGTATCCCTGCTTAACTTCCTACGTAGAACTGAGTCTCTGTTGTGTCATATGTATATAACACCTATGTTTTCTGCTATCATCTCTAACCTCGATCCCTACAAAACACGTGGACCTAGTGGTATCCCTCTAATAGCCATTAAGAAGTGTACCCCAGAACTGGCTCCTGTTCTCTTTAAACTTTATAAACTTTCCTTGTTCCAGTTTTTAAGAATTTGTGTGAACCCTACTACCCCTACAATTATCGGCCGATGAGTATTCTATCTTTTGGTGGGGGGGAATTAAAGAGGCCCTAATCATGCTGATTTGGTTAAGCACCTCACATTGCAGGGTCTTTTTTTATACAAATAATATGGCCTTCGTTTCTCCAAGTCAAGTGCTGGTGTACTGAGGATAATTGCGTTAAGAATCTATCAATTACTAGATAAGAATGGGCTGTAGCTATGGAAATCTCGATAGCTCTCGATAGGGTTTGGCATTCTGGTGTTCTCCACAAGCTGAACATTTACAGTGTCTCTGGATAATTTTAGTAAGTTTGATCAGTTTGTTAAAATCATAGCTAATATATAAACGACCTTCAATCGGTAGTTAACTGGAGCAAAAGATGGCTTGTTAATTTTAACGTCCCCAAAACTAAATTGCTCCCCATTAATAATCTGAGAGAACAGTCTCTACTTACCATCAGCATGTCTGATGCTGACCTTCAGGCGAGTGACTCGTTGCGCGTTCTTGAGGTGACATCCTCGATTAACACGACGTGGAAAGTCTATATTAAATTAGATAAGCTGCTAAGAATATTGGTTTACGGTGTCGTGATAGACAATTTTTCTCTCCAGAGTCTATCTTAGATATCTATGTCTATCATTCGCCCATGCTTAGAATATTGCTGCTACATATAGTCCTGCTATTTATTCAGAGCTCCTTGAAGAAGAATCGGCAATATTATTGACCTTGATCTTGCCTTTTCTATAAATGATTTCATGTTAATTGCTCGGATCACCTCTTCGCTATGGTACTTAGACTCTTTGAATTTAAACGCACTACTAGACTGCCGTCGAGGTCAAGCCAATTTAAATTTAAGCTGGCTAGATGTAAACGTAAATTCTGTGCGAACAGTTTCTTTTCTCGCACTTCTCGCTTGCGGGACTCCCTTCCGACTCCATACTTTCTAGTCAACTTTGATCTGCAAAAATGTAAATGCAATGTCCACCGCTATCTACTGTCCTCCTGATTTCTCTTCTTTTGTTCTCGCTCCTTAGCAATGTTTCTGGTTCTAACTCTTCCACATCCAGTAACCCCTTGTGTCTCAATGGCTCCCATCTTCAAAGTTCATTCAAGACTCATCAAGAGAACTGTGAATAAGTTTTAAAAAGAGGGAACAGTAGAGAGGAAAACTGGATCAGGAGGTCACAACAGGAAGAGGGATCATTATTTCAACGTCGAGCTAGATATCAATTAGAAAAGATCGAACTCAATTCATAAGACGTTTGACACATGAGAGAGGAGTTTCAGTTATGACAGCCCTAAGTGCAGTGAGGAAAAAAACTTGAAACTCGATGAAAAAAAATAAAAATAAAAACAACTCCAAGGATGTGGGTTTTGGCTAATTGTACGTGTGTTCGACTTTTCTTTAAGGAAACGTGTGGAGTTTTGCCAGACATACTTCCTATGTGCTTAAATTACCTTATGCGTTTATTAGGTTGAACACACCTATATTTCAAATCATCATTTCTGATATCGGCGGTAGTCATTTTCCTGCTGCTCCTCGAAAATCGGTGAATGCGTGTATATTACGTCTTTTCGAGAATGTCCAAATCTGTGCCAATCTAAATAGACACTAGTTGTGTGGTAGATATTTTATGACACTGTAAAGAGTATGTTTCTAACATCCAACTTCCAAAGCCTTCAAGCATTATGTACTATTTTCACTCTAGTCTCTAATGACAAATTGTTTTATTACCCTCTTACAACAACATCAGTGAATGACTGGGCTTCAAAATATCGATTACCAGGAGACAAAGGGGGGCCACATACAACTACAAAACTACCAATTAATTTTCATAACGAAGAAATAAAATTTTCAAAAAGTACACATTAATGGTACAATTAATGAAGGATATTTTAAAATAGTTTACTGCACCATTTGTACAGTAACATATACCGGGTTTAACAGCAGAATTGTACAAATCGTGTAGCAGCATAATTATCCATCCCATAAAATGTTTAATATCTAGAAAACCACTAAACTAATTAAGTTTCTTTTTTCCAGGTTTTCAGATAAGACGTTTAACAATCTTGACATCATTTTTGTTGTGGTGCGATCCACCTAATTTACATAGTGGAGTATCGACCATATAAATATGGATTGGTACCGGGAAGACGGGAGAGGAAGAAGAGATCCAATCCAGAGACTCTGCCCGACTGCGACTAAGTCAACCCATTCTACAGGAACGGTCTTCCCAAGAATATACCAAACTATCTGTAAATATTGTGTACGCGTTCTTGTTTCAATACATTTTGTTTAAGTACATTTTGTGTTGTATTATTATTATTCCATGCTTTATTCAAGTTTCAACATTTTTCTTGTAAGAATCACTGAAACCCCCTTTGAGTTATTCAACTAGAAAGAAAACAGGTGAAAATTGTTTTGTGTCAGACTTGCTGTCTTTCCAACTGAGCATAGGTGAGAAGAAAAAGATCATTCAGGCCTTCACTAATGGTACGAACATTTATACTCTGGCTTCCATCTTCAAAGTCCATTCAAGAGCCATCAAGAGAACGATGAATAAGTTTAAAAAAGAGGGAACAGTAGAGAGGAAAACTGGATCAGGAGATCA